TAGTTGAAAAATCATGACCTATTTAAACCAATTATTTCAACAGGAAAATTATTAATATTATTATTATTATTAAACTGTTAATTTTTTTGTTAATTATCATGTTTTATATAATATTTTATATTTGTTATGTATTATATTTATGGTTAGATATCTAAAAACTAGAACTCTAATTCGCGTATTTATGTTCTTAGGTATTTTAAATTTGCACATTGTTTCTCGTTATTTTATGAAACAAACGTTCGAATTGGTTAACTATTTGAAACGTTAATCTCATTTATTTTAATGTACAAGATTATAAGTAAAAAATAACACGAGATTATGGCTGTAAAATATGAGAGATTAAATATAAATAAAAACATAATTGTCATAATTTACATTGCTATTTATTTTAAGTAGGTAGAAAAATACATAACATCACGATTAAATATATAAGTTTTGATAAAACCAAACACTAATATTTAATTTGTGAATTGTTGCAATAATTTATAACGTAAACAAATTGTTTTAAAAAAACTATAAGTTATTTAAATATTTATTCCAATGGGGAACTGATTTGGATAAACCCTAAAAACAAAAAAAAAAAAAAATCCAGTAACCAATTTTGACATTTTGAAATAAATTCAGAACTACTGAATAAAACATTCGATATTCTGGAAGCTTTTGTCTTTTGACCAATCGAATTTTCACCTTATTCAATTATACCGTTGTTGACCACAATAATATTATTATATAATAACATTGCACATCATATAATATGCAATGTATAAAATGTATATTTACAATTTGTTCAAATAAAAATGTTGTTCAAATGTCACATAATTACATAAATTATTTAGGCATGTATAAGTTATATTTTTAAAGTTAGCGACGATAGTGAACAAGATTAACTTTAATTAGTGACGGTAAGATAACAACAAAAACTTTTAAATAAAGTAATAAGTTTGTATTAAGCAACCGATGTATCAACATTACGTTATAATACACCATTAAAAGTTTGAAGTAAAAAAAAAAGTACTAAATCAGCTAAAACCAGTAAATTATTATTATTTTTATAAATTATTTTTACCTGGATTTCATATAGTAGTTTTAAATATTTTAAATAATAACTGAATACTTTGTTAAAAATATATCCTAATATTCTTTTTATTGAACATGGGTTGTAATTGTTTAAGCAAAAATACTTTTTCATTAAATCAATGATATTAATTTGCTCATTTTTAATAGAACTTATTGAGATAAAACACGATCAAATAAAAAATAAAAAAACAAAAAAATAATAGTTTATTCATTTTTATTACAGCCTATAGATATAAATATAATGTAAGAAGCATCAATATGATTTTAATTTATGTATTATTTGTTAAGTTAACTAAAAAATATTAGTTATTACTTATTAATAATAACTAAGAATTATTAATTTGTATTAGATAATACAAAACAATATTATTACTAGTCCATTTCAGATGTAATTACCTAAATGTTATGTTCGCAAATGATTATCTTTTTGTATATGTTCTGCGTATTATTATAATATGTTTTACTTTTTACGGGATGTGAAAATCCGTCGAACATGATTATATTAAATTTGAATAAAAACTTGAGTACGAAGCGCTCGTTTTACCCCATACATTCTCTATACGAATCGAATATTGTATTATTCAAGTTAAATTTAAAATTTACTTCATGTTGCGTAGTAGTAAATAATTTACGAATTAAATTGTGATCATTTTTATTTCATAATAACGTAAATACGTTATAAATCGGTATTATCAATAAATACGTTGATATACTCATCGTATACCTTAATAAAAACGAAATATATATTAAAATACAAAATGTCAAAATATTTAAATGGTTCTTTTAATAATAAATACCCTACATTACATTTTTGACTTAACCTTTTAACCGTGACAGTATATTATAATATACCATACACCTAATGTATATTTAAATGACAGCTGAATAAATTACTTTAAATATCAATATAAATTATATACCGTATATAGTATTACAATTTATAATTCTAAAATCTGTATGATTTCTGAGTTCTTGAAAAAAAAAGTGCAGTGAACCACCGTCAATGAATACGACTACATAGAAATACAACATGATATGCCTATATAACTTTATTATATCTCCTATAATGTTATTCATATTGTTTTATTCAGAATTAAATATCTCAAATTTAGTAATTTAATACATAAACAATCTTAATGTATTTTCACATTAAACTGAGATTATCTTGATGTTATTCTTAATTTAAGACGAAGTATATAGTCAAAAATAAAAAGTGGGTGACGTGTGATTTTATCCAAAATATATCAATGTGGCCCTATAAAACATTTATTAAATAATATATAATATATGTACAGTATTCTTATAAGATATCGGGTTTTTCTGGAAAAACCCGAATGTGGAACCAAGGTACTTATCATATAGTGTAAACTAGTATGAATACAAATGTATAATATCAATATAATTTTGGATATTTTACTAAGGCGACGCGTAATTTCAGTTTGAAAGTCAAACGCAAATAAATTCTAGAACTATTATTCTTATCATTTTATCATTCCTATCAATCATTACTACCTATAATTTTATGAAATGGCGAGCACTGAGCTTTCAAAACTCATTAAGAATGTTCAATATATATTATATTTTAAAATATATGTACTCACTCACGAGAACGCTTATTTTTTAATATATTTCGAAGTATGTACGTACTATATTTTTAACTTATTTTATTTTATAGCTTACTCGTATACACATATCAACATTTTATAAATCCAACTTCTCAAAAAAAAAAATAAAAAAATAAAAAAATATGTAATAACAAACTAATAATAATAATATATTTGATACCTACTGTCCTTCGTCTTATACATAACATTTTGTTATTATAGACAGTTTAGACGATATCATAATACAAGTTTCGACTTAAATCTTGATATAACTTGACTGATTTATATCAATAGTATATTATGCACATATTTTTATAAATAACTAATAAATTAGAAAAGTAAAAAATTAGAAAACAACTGGTTGGATAAAAAAAAAATAATAATTATAAAATATAGAAGCAACATTTTCAAATGAAATCAAACTATTATAAAATATATCAGAAATTATATTTTTTTCTCTTTGTACTCAACAACAATTTAAAACATTTTTTTTTCATTCTAAAAGGTTTAATAATGTAATGAAAACCAAGCGCACCTATTATATATTTATAAGTCAACAATAAGTTACGGCATTCAATGAAAAACTCTTCTCAATATTATTAAATTTAAAAGAAAAGTATTTAAAACACGTTTTCCTTAAATTATTAATTAGATTCGAATAAAAGAATTGACCGGAGGCTACTATGTATTTAGTTGAGCTATTGTTTCCAATAAAATTCACCTTTAATTATTATTTTAGTTTAAAGGTACCATATTTTAATTTTATAACTTTCGCTTAAGAGGACGTCGTACCCGCATATGTTGTCTCCGTCTTACAAATGCGTAACATGGCAAATAGTACTCTCAGAAGATCACGTTTAGCTTCTTCAAAATTAGAATGAATTGACCTCTTTTGAAATTTAAAAGTGAGATTATTATCTAGGGCATCTCATAGGCTTTTTATTATATTTTAATTTTAAAGCAAGTTATGAGTATTTTAAAATTGTAAATTGCTTGCACGTCTTAAAACACACATAACTCGCTTTAAAATTAAAATATAATAAAAAGCCTATGAGATGCCCTAGATAATAATCTCACTTTTAAATTTCAAAAGAGGTCAATTCATTCTAATTTTCAAGCTGAAGGAGCTAAATGTGATCTTCTGAGAGTACTATTTGCCATGTTACGCATTTGTAAAACGGAGACAACATATGCGGGTACGACATCCTCTTAAGGCATTTTATAAACGTAAATAAATATGAATAACTAAAATCAATTATAATAAACATTATAAGTAAAAAAAAAAAAATCAAATGTTAAACTTTCAATTGAACCACTGTAAAAAATTAATTTAACTGATTATTATTAAATCTGATTGAACATATTTAAGTGATAAAATAATTGTTCACCAATATTTTTAATTTATGTGAGATTATGGAACTTAACAATAAAACAATATGTTTTAAACTCGATTTTGAAGCATAAGAAATATTTTAATGTTAAATGTCATTTTACATAAAATAATATTTCAAATAAATCCTATAAATAAACATACTAAGGTGTTTAATTACCTATTCGTAAAATAGGAACAATTTATTTTTACGAGTACTGAATAATAAAAATAAATTAAAAAAAAAAAAAAACTATAAAACCAATAAAAATAAACTTTCTAAAAGGTTGACGTTGAAAGATTTTTTTTTTTGAAGTATACTTCAATATAAACACTCAGCATAAGTTAAAAATGTTGTTTTTCAGAATATATATTGTTGTTAATATTATATTTTAAATATTTTATAATAAGAATAAGAAAGAATCTAACAAAAAAAAAAATTAAAGTATGTTTGTTTTGAAAATTGATTCAACAATCGAATTATTAGGAAACAAAATTTACTATTTAAGTGTGCAATCTTAAGGAAGCTAATAAAAATAAAGTAAAGGCATTTAAAAAAAAAAATGACTTTATTTTAGTTATGATAGGTTTAAACTAAAATTAAGTATTCAACGTCTCTAATAATAAATAATTTTAAAAAAAAATTACTTTTAAACAAAAACTTAGTATTTATCTTTTTATTCTAGAATTATTATTATAAATAAAACATAAATCAAAAAAGTTTATCATAATTTATAACTAATTAACGTAGGTCAGAGCTATTTTGGTATCTGTTTTCCATTTTATATTAATTGCATTTCATAAAATATATATACTTATACATTATATATAATTGCTTAAATAATATAATTTTTACATTGGTATGAATAAATTAAATTTATTCAATATAAAATTTGTAACATTTGTACATATATAAATTAAAAATTTTTAATATATTATTATATTTTTAGGAAATAGCAGCAATACTTATCAATTTTGAAAGACATAGCGAATGGCAGTCAAAAGAAGTAAAAATAAGGTAAGATGTTTAAATAATTTTTATTTGTGGTTTTTAAAAATAGCATAATTTTAAAAACTACTTAGAATTTTTTTTTTTTATAATACTTTGTATAACAAATCATTGGGTATTTTAGTTATTATTATAATATTGGTAAATAATTACTAGGTCTATTTAAATTAAATTAATTTTATTTTTATCAATTCTAAACATAGCAATTAAATTCACATAACGTGTCTGTAGCTATAGTACATAAATGTGAGTCACATAAATAACTAATATAAGCAGTAAATAAAAAAAAAAGGTTGGTAAAAATTATTTTGCGTACTTCGTCCTACATTATACATTTCTATTCGTGAATATCTACCTACGTTCTATGCGTTATTTTATTATTCATATCAAAATAACAATATCATTTTAGTAGGTATTCAAACAACATCACATAAAACACCCTATTTACAGACTATTATACAATTTAAAGACGTAAGTACTTAGTTGAGTTCGATAGTGTACTAAAGTTTCTAAGTTTTTTTTTATTATTATTACAGTACAATATAACAGAACCATGTACCAACATTTATATATATGAATGCATTTCAAAGTTTGCATATAATATTATTTTAGATTTCAAATTAATGGTTAATTTAATATTTAATCGCTTAAAAACTAATAATAATTGTTAAAGTTCTGTTAACCATACTTTAAATACATATTTAAAAATCGCATAATTCTTTTTTTAGTCTACAATATTATTTGTGCGTGTGTGTGTGTGATAATAAAATACTTGATAAAATATCGTTATACTCTCTATCTTAAGTAATCTATCGTGATATGTTATGCACAATACTATTTTTATTGTGGTAAATATTTTTATTTTAGTTTCATGTTAACTTATTGATTTAAAAAACGAATAGTGGATAAAATGACAGGATATTTTAATCAATTTTGACGTGTCGTTTATCCATGTATTTGTTAAAGTAAATTACTGTTTTTATTTTATTTCTTTTTAAATTTTTAAACAGGATTCATATGGACATATGGATAAAAAAAAAAATCAAGTTTTAGGTTTACATGCAAGAAAAGCCGTGTGTAATCTAGAACCCTAAGGATATTTTGCGAATCTGGTTAAAAATAAAAAATTACAGTAATAATAAAATATTTTTCAGGATGCGCTTTTACCATTATTCCGCCAACTGAAAATATTTTATTATATGTGGTGAACATAAATCACTTTGTCGGGACTGTCCTTTGTGGATGACAGTTTTAGAGTATGTGTTTGTATATGTATATATACGCTTGAAATTTACATCCGTCTAGCACGAATACTTTTTAAAACTTTAACTGAAGCTCTCTTCTGAATTTAAGTTAAATGTTTCAGTAGCTTTTCAAATCAAATAACATTCTAAAGTCACGTCGAACAGTTTGCATTTTTTCATTGTCTTAGCAACTAACACACAATTTATTAAATTATTTAGACTATTCTATTAGTCTATTTAGTTAATCATATCTCTAATATTATAAAGTTACACTTTATAATCATTCAATATGCATCATTAATTGTGTGTTTAAACTTAAAACTTAAATTTAAAAAAAGTAATTTATTGTACTCAAAATACCATTATACTTTTTATAAATCAATAATTAAGTAACGCATTACTATTAGTGACTAGTGCTGTTACTAGTGTTACTGTTGACTAATGATTAATGACTATCAACAGTCGACTAATTAGTTATTCGATAGTTGTTGACTGTTACCTATGTACTTACTATTTAGCCGACTGGTCGATAGAATTATTAGAATACAATGTATATAGGTTATACTGGCCAATTCAAATAAATTAGTCAACGATTAATTGTTCAAACAAATCAAATTGCGATTAATTATTTTGTTTTGAAATTTGTCGTTGCCATTAATTTATGTTTATATAATTATTCAATCATTTAAATCAAGCAACGATATTAGGTACTGATCAGTATGAGTAAAATATTATAACTTGACCGTCTCTGTTTAGAAAGCAAAATTAAGAAATAATAATATTACTTATCACATGAAAACTATATCTTAAAAAAAAAAAAAACTTCTATAATCATACTCAATAATTAATATAAATATAGTAATTAGTTAAACATGAAATTAGGCGCATTATTATTCTTATATCTTATTTTATAAGAATATTATATTTTCAATGGCATCTATACATAAACATTTTTTTTTTTTTAATTTAATAACCATTGCCCATTAGTATTAAACTTAACTTGAAAATTATAAAAATTCAATTTTACTTATTTTCAAACATTTATACTATATAAAATCAGAAATATTTTATATCATACATACCAACATATTGTTTCACTGAAAAAATTAAAAAAATAATGTTCCTTTTTCAGTAGTCAATGTTTTTTTTCACAGCAAAATTATTTATAGCAGTACACATTTTTCTCTTGTAGTGAATGCAGTATAATTGTCCGTACGTTTTAGCGAGTTCATTGATGTTTAAATCGGTATTTACAGTCAGCTTATAAAAAAAAAAAAAAAAACTAAGACTCCAACTTTATTTTATTTTTAATTATAAGTGTTAAATAAAAAAAAAATTTACAATACTTGTAGTTTGAATGTTAATTTTTTACCATTAGACGATTTCAGATAAATCAATAATTAACTAATTTTAACTGTAGTCAATGCTGGTATATAAAGATACAAAATAAGGTTTTAAATTAGTTATATATCTTACCTAGGGCTAAAAAAAAATATAAGATTCGACACTGAATATAGGCATATAATTACTCGTATATTAACGTATATATTTTAATTCAATTGTGCATTTTACTCGCAACTATACCATGAATAAGACGTATAATAATAGGTTTAAACTATACCTAAAACGGAGACTAGGGCTTGCTAGTTGCTAAATATTGTTGTTTTGTATGAAAATTTATTTTTATTTTTACAAAGCTAATAATCATTTCATTGACTATTTAATTTTCATTGATATGCATTAGTTATTATTATTATTATTTTAAAATTATATATTGCTTATCAAAATTATAATTTTATTTAAATTAGTTATGTATCTTGCATATTAGGGATATTTTTAATATATTTTGTGCGTTAAAAAAAAAAAAAATAAAGAGTTAAAAATACAAGTTTAAAAAGTAAGCCAACTAGCCTGGGTATTCCCTACGTACGTTTATATGAAGATATATTTAAATCGTTCTATTGTTAGGTGCTAGCCGTTTCAGTCGATTGTTAATAACCTATCAAACACCACCTATACAGTGTGGTGATTCATCAAGTATGATGCTCACTTCCGTTTTTACATTTAATAATATTAAATGTAAATAATATTTAATTAAATTTAGTAAAATTCTGATTATCGAAATTGTTAAATGTACCTTTTCTTAAAGATATTATTTTCAAATTCTTGTTATTTTTATATTATACTTAAAGAGTGTTACGTGGTGATATAAATTTTCGTTTTTACATATCCTTACAAATAGTTTTACAATAATTCAAAATAGATTTAATACAGAATCTATTATTTGCCATACTTTGACCATTTTTATGAACTACAAATATTATCAGATTAATATATGTTACTACAATTTTTAACTCATCATATCTTTTAATTTTACAAATATGTCGTCATGAATCTACTATTCATTGGAGGGTTCGCAAATAAAAAGTATAAGTTTGTTTTTTCACAAAATACTTCTTAAGCAGTACTAAAAAATCTCGATAGTTTAAAAAATTAACCTTGCGGCGAATTCAAAAATTCGAAAAACCAGATTTCTAATAACTGCGCTATTGAAAAAGATTAAGTACGTGAACATACTTGGTGCGATTTTTCTATACACGTGGCGGTAACTATTGAAAACACTTATTCCGCTGCTGGCTTCAAACGGATCGAGATTCGGATACCATTCGCAATCAGTGAGACGCCGTCACGGCAGACGTGGTCGTTCGATTCACAGCAATCGTGTTGGAACGTTTCCTATTTGCCGCGAACGAACGGCGGTACCGTCGTTGCGGTTATCGTCGTCCTTTATCCTGTTAAACGGCGTTAAGTGATCTATACTTATTAGAATGTGCTCGTCACCGGCAAATGTCAATTTTTTTTCTCATATATAATGCATATTGTTTTCTTATCTTAATGTCACGATGAAGATTCAGGTAAATATAGCTGTACGCGCGCATTTTGTCTTGGCGCACGATTTCTAATGCAGGACACGAATCCGCCACGGGCGCACGATATGCCAAAACGTTGGCGGAATACGTTCTGCCACGACTGAATGCGAATGTGTGTTTTTTGTTTATAAATGAATACACAGCGAATCGGGCCTATAGCGGTTCACATTTCAACTGAAGCGAGGCTCACGATGCACTTTGCACACTACTGTTGCAATATTATCAAATATTAATCGAGAAAAACCGGAAACACACGAAAAATATAGTCGAACATTATGGTATTAGTTCACGTGAGCTGCTCGAAAGAATACGGTTATATTGTCATATGACATATTATACAAGCTGTTTACGCTTGTATCTACTAAATATGTGTTTATGCAATCCATCCACTGCAGTGATGGGTAGATGGTGGGCCGTAACGCGATGTGATCCTTGTCTTAAGGTAATAAATTATTCGACGTCATAATACGACGATGTCGAGTTTTTTATCGAACGCGTCAACAACGGATATCGATCTATTAATTTACAAATATGACAGCTGACATAAAATGAATAAATATTATGTACGTATACAACGCATGTGAACCGACACATTGTCGTACACGTTTTGATTCTGCGGCACTCAGTTTTACGTATCCATATTTTAATATAACGGTTTTTAATTTGCATTACGAAATGGGTAATCGAACTTATTGTTTGTCATTTACACCAAACGAGTATGCATCTATGATGTATATCAAGTGGTGTCTTCGATACACCCTCGTTAACGCCGAGGCTCAAACGTCAATAATAATTTTCCCGGAGCTCCGACTGTTTGTCAACTAATCTAGTGGTC